ATTTTGAAGTGAGAGAGATCGGTTTTTCCTTGCTAGTCCTCCCTGCTTTGAGCCTTGTTTGAAGTTGCTGTTTGTTTGGCTGTGGGAGATAATAGTATCCTTGACGGTCTGCCCCTCCATTCCAGCCTGGGGCTTCAGCTCTCTGTAACAGCTCCTTGTCTCCATGGGAAATTCATCTCTCCCTGGGAAATTAATCATGAATCCCTTTTCAGCAGATATGAAAAGCAACTACTGTTTGAGAGCCTACATCATGTCAATAGAAGTAGGTCAACTCATGAGTTTTTTCACAGAAGAAGTTTCCCATTATAGTAGGTACATTCATATTCCCAAGTGTTGGTAAACTCATTTTAAACTTGATGGCCCAGTTCAGATCTCACAACAAACTGGGTTCCCATAGTTCCTCACCCCTTCACATACGCTTGAACTCCGGCTTGATTATGTCCAAATCAGACCATATTTGTTCCAAACTAGATTGCTTCAGAACTGGAATTGGGAATCCACTCTGGCTTTTAATCTGGGATTAAAAACAGTTGTGGTTTCTAGTGGCTATTGTGTTCTGCTTTGTTTTGGGTACAAAGAAAGAAGGAATTCAGCATGGGACTGGTGATCAAGCCAAAAAGTGATGGGATGTCTGAACTCATTGACTATTGACAATCAGCACAACGCCAAGAAAATGGGTGGCAGTTTCAGCCTAGGGGATAACTTTGATCTTGTTTACTGCACTGTCTTCAGTACACTTGTTGTCTTAGCAGTCAGAGTGGCCACCTCGTAAGCCACAAACTAAAATTCACTGGATTCCCATACTGTTTGGTCCGAGCTAAGTAGATGACATCCTGGTTGGACAAGATATCTGAACTTTGGTGTGTTGTACGTGAAAGTTCGATTCAACCACCATCAAGGGAGTCTTTGACAAAACAAAGAAATTGTTTCTCTTCCCAGGGCCTTGTCCATGAAAAGAAACCGAGGACGAGAAGTACTGAATTGTATTGGCATGAAGGCTTCTTTTATGTGTGAGTGTGTTGATAGGCACTGATTAGTGGAGAATGGAGAGTCTGTAGAACTGTAATTAACACTTTATAAAAGCAACTTTTCAAGAGGACTTTTGTTTCGTGAAACATTTTGTTTCTTGACTGCAGAAAGATGTTCTCAGTTGGCTAATTGCCATTCCCTTTATAGACCTTTATTTTCTAGGTACCTATTACTCAATTTCATAACACTTTAACATTTAACACAGTTACCCAGCTTGAATCATTAGGCAGGTTGGTGCTTATGTGCTACTTGCTTTGATGTCTCTCCCCTTTTCCATCCCCCAGTTTGAGCTTCCTCTGCACCAAATGACGGACTGTGGACCCCATGTGCCAATAGACCAGCAAGTCCATACATTTTCAGGGAGCAAAATCTTGGCTGGCCAAGAGACACTCTTGTAGTTTCCTTATTCAGTTAGAGATTTATTTGATTTTTAGCTTTTTTCAGAGCCATGGCCAGCATTCACCCAAGCCTGCATTTTGGGACCCTCTTCTAGCCCTTTCCTCCCACATATTCCTACATCAAATTGTCCTGCTGTTGCATTTTCCTTCAGATCAGCCCATTATCCTCTTGCAGCAGCCAAACCATTAGTTGAAAACGAATGTGCTGCATTGCATTATATTCTAGGCTTTGGGCTACATGGGAGCAGGAACAGCCTTTCCTGGGTTTGCAGTCCCTATTAGATCTTAATCCTTCATCTTATCATACTGCACCTTCTTCCTTTTTTAATCTCTTCTTAAGCATGCAAGTTCCTCCCAAGGCCAGCAGCTGAATGTTTCTCAGGCCTGTAGCAGATTTGTTAGAAATGGGTGGCGAGAAGAATACATCTTCATGCCAAGGACAAATTTCTCTCCATGTACCTTAGAGCCTTCGAGCAGAAAGAAATATTGGGGGCCCCTTTAAAGGGAAGATGATGGAGGAGGACCCCGCCAGGCAGGCTTGGTGTTGGCTAAAGCAGCATTCCTCTGAAATCAGGATCTGATCTTCCAGCCCTAACGCTTCTTTTGGCTGCTCCTTGAACTCAGGAACATCAACTAGGTCTCCCACCGTCCCTGGCCAACTCCTGGTATTACTCCCATTGTAGAGACGTCAAACTGGAGGAGACTGTCATTGGGGTACAGCGCTGGGAACCTGTTAACGCCCCCAGAAACATTGGGTTTTAGTCAAAGAGCAGGTGGCTGCATCAGCTTCTGTTTTTTGCCTGTAATTAAGCCTGTTACCAGCGATGGAGGCATAATTAAACTTTAATTTGTCAGGATATATTACAGTAGACTTTTTTTCCCTCTCCCCACTGGGCAGTGCATCTTCCCCACCTTTCTGGTATAATTTGCTGGCAAGGTCATTTTGCTGAAAGAGCGAGCTGTACCAAATGTCCCACTTCTGTTCCTACTGCATTTTGGGTCTTGTTCAAAGAATTGGCCTGTTCTTTTTTTTTTTTTTCCCCCTCTCTCTCTTTCTTAAAATAGCCCTGAAGAAATGCTTGTCAGACTTTGGCACAGCATTTCCCGCTTAGACTTCCTTTTTGTAAATGAAACCTTTATGAAAAAAAAAAAACTGGCCAGGCTTTGGGTCTTAAGGACTAGAATCCTTGTGCAGAGTGGGTCGGCTTTGAAAGAAAACAGGAGAATTCAAGGTACCTTGTAGCGTGCCCAAAGCCACAGCCAAGAGCTATGAGAATGAACTGTTTTATATACTGATCTGCCTTTGATCTCTTCCAATTCAGGCTTCCCCCCGGATGTGTTTCCCCTTGTCCTAAGCCCCCCCCCCCAAATGACGGGATGGCAGATTGCTTCCTGATTTGATCATGTTAATATATCAGTTTTTTTTTTTAAATGAAGAGGTGTTCCTGTGTGTGAGCCCAGACTGGCATTCCAAAAGGGTACATTCTGGGTGCGGCCGGGCCATCTCAGTGGGCCCTGGGCCAAGAATGTGTAATTCACATTAGTCTTGGGGACAAGTACGGCTATAAATCATACAACATCTCGGCTGCGGAGCACGGGGCTGCTGTATATTAAAAGAAAGAGACCGCGTCTGCAAAATTAGGATCCAAGAAGATGAGACGGGATGGAAAAGGGTACCCAAATTCTGCCTTCTCCAACAGGTGCCATGACTAGTGCCATAAAGCACTGGCTCTCCTTTCTGGTGTTTTCTGAGTGCCGTTGAGTTCAAAGCAGACCGGTGGGAGGAGGGGTTTAAGGTTAGTGAGATCTTAGAAGTAGACGGTAAAAGCAGCTTTGGTGAACATGGCAGATGAGGGTGCCCAGATTCCAGCATTGCCTGGTCTGTCTGCAGAGCGTTGCTTGGGGCGGTTGCAACGGTCTCAGCTTCTGCTGCTTGCATCCGCTTCAAGGCAACGCGGGCACTGTTTTTTTTTCTGGGACGTAGAAGTGTGGGTCCTGACTGGGTCGTGTTGCGTGGAAGTCTTCCTTTCTTTTTTTGCCCTAGAGTATAAATATACCACACTACCTTATACAGACTCGGACCACATCTCTAGTTATGCGCTCTGCCAGGCAGCAACTCTGAAAGGTGGTGGAGTTCATTCCCAGGCTGTCGCCTAAGATGACCTTTAATGGAGCTGCCAGGCTTGAAGCTGGCACCTTCTCTGTCCCGAGTATGTGCTGTTTCATTCACCTGCTCTTCCTCCCTGAATCTTGTAAGACTGCCTAAGGGTTGTTGTTGAGCAAGTCCAGTTCTGTTGCCACTTGCCAGTGTCTTCCCATCCATGTCTCCAGAATTTCCCTCTTCCCCACAATCCCCCATTAGGGACTAGCCAGGTTTCTGCATGCTGGGTCTCCAGCATCTCAGTATACAAGCATTTGATGTTCTAATTTCTTTCGAGGGATTCCTGAGAGCAAGCACTGCTAAAACTGCCCCCCCCCGCCCCCCATCATAGGCCTGTTTAGAGAAAGATCTGTGCAGAGCGACACCGCAAAGGAGCTTGTCTGGATTTGGCATTGTTGATAGTACACCCTGTTGGACCTGTCTTCTGATCCGTGCCTCACCCTGTTGGAGCAGGTGGCTTCTCGGCGGTGTGCTGCCTTCTGTGGAACTCCTTTCTGCTGAAAATGTTTCGTAGAACTCCCCTGGAAAATGCGTTGGGCTTGTTTCTTTAAGATGGGCTTATTTCCAAGGGCATTGGACCAACTCAGTCCTCAAGTGATCAAGCTTAAATCAAGACTGGACTCGTTTCACTAGGAGGCCCAAGGTGCTTCTTCCTTCCGTGCACGTGTTGCCTCCACGCCACTTCCAAGAACATGGAAAGAACTTACAGATATTTGCCTAGCCTTATATAAAGGCCTGTTGAGTGGCGGGTTATGCTCCATCATTCAGCTGGTTCTTTTTTCCCTGCATAATTGGTATGCGGTGCCCACCAACTGCAGAAGGGCACAATATACCAAACCCTGCTCCCTTCCAAAGCGGCTCTGGAGGCTGCAGAGAGTTAATCTTCCCTGCCAGTGAAAGTGACGCGTCAGCTGTACGAAAGCCAGATTGAGCAACGCCCGCATCACATGCCTTGGCTGGGAATGCAAGGCCCCGCTCAGTTCCCGCCTGGGGAGGGCCGCGGCCACGGAGGGTTCCCATTTATGCAGAAGGGCAGGGCCGCCTCAGCCAATCGCAGCCGAGCAAGTTCTGTTCATAGACGGGCGTCATGCCATTTACCGGCATTTCGGCATTTCCTCTGTACCCGGCACAAGAGCGAAAGAGGAATTGGGTGGGTTCCATTTGGGCCGCTGCGCAGCTCAGGCGAGGGGGAGATGCTTTGTCTGTGCCTCTACGTACCACACTTTGGCAATTCCCAGGCCGAGTTTGAGTACTTTGAGTCGAGAGGCCTCCCTGCCGAACTCAAATCCATCTTCCGGCTCAGCCTTTTGATCCCTTCTCAGGAATTCTCCACCTATCGGCAATGGAAGCAGGTAAGGATGGGGCTGGGAGGGCGGGGGATGCAGAGAAGCAGAACGGTTTTCTTCAGTTGTTCTTGTTGCTCCCAGAAGCCACATGGCTTTCCGCCCCTTCTTCTCCCCCTCCCCACAGCCTTGCGGGTTGAGAAAAGGATTCTAGATTCCCCCCAAGAAAGTTGGTATCTGTTGGTTGTGCTGGTTGAGACCTCCGAGAGTAGCCGCTGCTCCACGTTTATATTCTGACCTGAGGCTGGGCTCCCCTCTCAAGTTTCCCCATACCCTCTTAGAGCTCTTACTATTATTATTTGGTTTTGCTTCCCTCTTTTCTGCGTAGAGGAGACAGAGCACTGCGCGTAGGAGCTTCCTTCTTGGATTGTCCTGGTTTGCGTCCCCATTGAAGAACTTTCCACATTCAACCCCAGTTCTTTCCTCTCTTCCAAGTGACCTATTTTTCAGAGAGCAAAGCTTTTATTACTTCTAATCATGCTGGTTCAATTTATTTCAGTACGCAGTTTTGAGTGTCAGGAAGCTTTCCTTCCTGTCTTGGTGTCAGCTACAGCCGAATGAGCAACGTAGGTGGAATTTCTCCACTTCCTTTGAAAATGTTCTCAGGCTTTCTGTTTAACCCAGACTTTTCTAATGTTCTGAGCCAGGCTTCCCCAGACCGGCACCTTCCAGACACGTTGGAACTGCAACTCCCATCACCCTCAACTAGGCTGGAGAGAGGTCCTCCAGATGAGGAACTGTCTTTCACCGTAGTTCCTGAAAGCACACAGGATGCAGAGAAAGGGTGGGGAGAGTCACCTTGGGAAAGTTCAGGATGCGGAGGAGGAAATGAGTTAGATGTGATTGGTGGAAGGTGCTGCATCTTGGAAGTAAAGGAAGGTGCTTCCTAGTTCAGCTAGGATGGGCTGGACTAAAAGTTGCCTTGGGGAAATTGCAAGTATTTTTAAAACTAGCTTATATAATGTGTGCTAAGTACAGCCCAGCAGTCATGTGTATCAGTTGAGCAAGGACCTGGGAATTCTCTGGCCTGAGTGTCTTTCCTGAAACCACATCCATGGCTGATGAGCCCTGATGGACCATGTTCCTAGAGAGCGCTTTCAGTGTAGTGGGCCATTTTAAGGCTTAAAACAAGGTTCTTGGGGGTTTGCTTTCAATCAAGAAAAGTAGGCATCTTCCCTCCAGTTGAGGTCTTGATCCATTGAACTCACTGACACTGATAGCAGGTCTCAACCAGGAATCATTCCAGACTTGGGACACCAGAGATGTTACTGTGACTTCCTTTCATACTTGTACAACTAATGGTGGCAGTCCCTAATAATTGCCCCACAAACACAGTACTATGGCACACCCATGAAGAGGAATCTGTGGATTGTCAGAGTCCTCCGACTGAATCTCTTCATCATGGCACCGCCAACACTTTTGCCCCACATAGCTACCTCTATAGGGTTTGATGCCACCATCTTGTTCAGTAGCGGTTAACAGGTGCTCCCGCTTTTATTAACATATTGATTAATCATTAATTGACCTGGAGGGACAGCTTCAGCAGCTGTGGGCACGGCGGGAGCATGTGACAATGTAGTAATTTCAGAATTGGCCATGGGCCTATCTCACACACTGTCCTCTTGCGTTTACATCTTGCCCTTCCCCCAGCATGGTGCTCTCCAGATCTCTTGATAGGACAGCCACTGGCTAAAGCTGACCTGGTTAGTAGGCCGCTCCAAACTCCAACAAGACTCAAGTTTAGCCACTGGAGGCATTTGTGGTGCCTCCGTTACAAGGGAAGACTTCCATGGATGTGATTTTAGGAAGCAGCCTTAGGTTTCCCAGTGGGATTTTGGAACCTGCAGATGCTCCTTCGCTGAAACGATGAGTTTCTCCACCGTCTCGCTTCTTTGCTGCAGGAAGATTAATGTGAGACCTGCACACACTGAGAAGTGTCTTGGCACCAAGTGTGATGGGAGTTGCGTGTGGCAATTTTAGAAACACCCTACTGAGCTAACAGAGCTGTCATGCAAATTGGGCAGCTGCAGCCATGAACTCTCATGTTCCTTCTTCCCCCTTGGCTCTCCGTGGCAGTCTTTTTGGAGGAGAATTCTGCATTTTAGGGTGTTCTAGGGTTGGCTTATAAGCACTGTCAAACATTTTTTACCTTGCTTTCTTTTCCCCCCAAGGGCTCCTTTTCTATGGAATAACCTCGTTTGCTGTTATCTGCCGACATACCAAAGGTCTCTTTCTATCTTTAGCCTGCAAATTGTGATCCCTTCCTTGTCGCTCCTTTTTACAACCATCATATGATTGTCTGCAGATTTGGCCGCCTGGACGTTACAAAAGGTCATTGCAGATGGTGGCAGGATGTCCTTACTAACACTTAGGTAAAAAAGGAATTACATTATGTAACGATCTAAGTTTAGCGGTTGAGTGGGAAGGAACATCCTCAACAAAACTTAGTGTAATTATCTCTCTGAAAAACCATAGTGGGAAGTATCCACAGCATAATTATTTGTCCATTTCTCTCTCTCTCAATGGTTGCACCTGTACACCCCACCAAGCCAGGATTTTGAGTTCTGGAAAATGTTGGCTCGCTATGAACCAGCTGCTTTCGTGGTTTGATTTGCTAAGAATTGGGTCCTGTGGCTGCACTCCAGGTCAGCCTCCTCTGGCCTAGGCCCTGGAGAGAGATTATGGGAGCTAGCGTCTGCAGGATACTTGATGCAAGCCAGGACTCAAGTCCAGGGTCGTGTACAGACCCAAATTCCTGGTTTACCTCTCCCCAGCAAGCCAAAAGTCGGAAGCCAAGCAGGAACCATGGCTTCTTAAGAGGGAAAGGTGGGGCTAAGGAAAAGGAATCCAGCAAACTGGGACAGCATTGTGCTCTTTCTTAATAAGCAGTTTCTTCAAATCCTGATTTTCCATGATATGCAAACATAACCAATATATCATCTGTGCATTCCTAACTTTACAGGCAACTGCCTTGATATAATATTGTGATATCCTAGGTGCTTATGAGAGAGATTGGTGACTAAGGTCATTATGTCATGTGGAGATGAGTAGTTAGCCCAGGTGAGACACCGTATGGGTCTTACTTCCAGAGGTGGAGCTCTGTTATTCCATTGCAGCAAGAATTACTCCATGGCTGCAGGTGGATGTAGTCATAATATCATTTGTTTGGTGTTTGGCTTTGTGTACCAGCCTACTTGCCGTTTATTTAGTCAACAATTGTTGGACGATGGCTTGAGTGTGATGGGTGAGTCTTAAGGCTTTATAAATCTATCATAGAATGAGCTTTCAGTCCAGGAAGAAGTCTGTCCTTCCTGGATGGTATTCAAAACCAAGTCTCTCTAAACATAGTTCCTGATGGCTATGCAAAATAGATGGTAGGACTGTGTTGACCAAGCCAAGATTGTTCTCTTGCCCTCCTGCCCATCTTGTTGAAGGCTGGAGGGATCGGTTCCTGGTAGGAGGTATGTTCAGGGTGAAGTGTATTTATTAACCGCCTGACCTTGCCATCTCTTAATCTCATTTGTAAAGATACACTCTGCTCCTGAAATCTAGTTTCCCCTAGGTTCTTGCACAAGAACATAACTGCAGGGCGTCCAAACCAGTTCATGCTTGTTGTAGAGCCGTTGTATCACTTAAAGATTGCTTATTAATGTTACTTCTTAGCTTACCCAGCAAGTTTTCTAGCTGCAGTTAGTTCCCCCCAGAAATAGCTAGTTTCCCTGTTGGTTCTTCTTACTAAAGAAAGAAAAACACAAGTTTTGAGCGGAGGGCTAAAAAGTGAGCGTGGTAGAGCTGGGTGACCTTGGTGCTTTTTCAAAACTTCTCAGCTCAAGTAACTCTGCATGTCCAGTTCCTGAAATGAGCGTGCAATTGTTGCTGATTGTGTTTTTTGTAGTTAGCATAGAGTTCTGTTTTTTCTTTGAACATTTAGTTGCTCTTTGTTTAAATAAGAACCAGAGCGGTTGGAATTGAATCCATGCTATATAACATTCCCCGCCCCCCCCAACCCTAAACAACAGCAGTTATGAAACCAACCAAGGTTATTTTTGTGTCTTTTCTACAGAAAATCGTAAAAGCCGGAGATAAGGATCTGGATGGCCAGCTGGACTTTGAGGAATTTGTTCACTATCTCCAAGACCATGAGAAGAAACTGAGGCTGGTTTTCAAGAGTTTGGACAAAAAGAATGATGGTAAGCACTCCCGCTGGTTAAATTTGGGTGGCTTGTTCTGCTTCACGAGCTTGAGGTTCACTTCTCTACCCCCCCCCAAATGGGATTTTGCAGGTCGCATTGATGCTCAGGAGATCATGCAGTCTCTTCGCGATCTGGGCGTCAAGATCTCTGAACAGCAGGCAGAGAAAATTCTCAAGAGGTAAGTGCTGGAGCTGGCTCCCATCTTGAAGAAGCATTGTTTCTCTCTCTCACGCACACTTCTCTTTCCCATCAATTTTCCACACATCCTTCCATCTTCCTCGTAGTGAGTCATGCGAGAAGCCGCCCACGTAATCCCCCCCTCCCACTTCCAGTCTTTGTACTGGAGAATTTGAAGCAAGGCGTGGTTTAATGGGGACACAGAAGAGCTTGTGGTGGTGAAAGTAGACGGCGGTGCTGCATGAAGCAGCGATGCTGTCTCTCTTCAGAGCGGCCTGCCTGTTTTTGCAGCCTGCGCTGGTAACTTTCCACCTCGCAGAGCAGGCTGAGAGGGTGTTACCTGGGCGATGTTTGACTGCAGAACGGCTGAGAGCACGCCCAGGCGAACGGCCTCCTGTTGAGCAAGGAGTGATAACCAGAGCTGCCTCTGATCATCTGAAACCAACATCAGATCAGAGATAGATAGATAGATAGATAGATAGATAGATAGATAGATAGATAGATAGATAGATAGCTCTGTGTGTGTATTTGCAGCACTCTGTTCTCCTGTACGTGCGTGTTCATGTGTAAGACTTAACTGCTTTCTTTTGTGGGCTCGTGGCACTGATTTTAACCATCACTTACTTGTTCCTCTTTGGGTTCTCCCCTCTGCTTGCCTGACTGCCTGTCTGTCTGTCAGAATAAGGACAGGACATGTCTGGGGTCCTGTCACTTAGTAAGTACAACAGAGTTTACTTCTGTGTGGCCCCTTGTCCCCATGTGTCTCCTACTCCCCCCCCCCCCCTTTGGATGCGGGCTGCATGTTTCTTGCACGTCTGGCAGCAGGGGCCACGTTCAGCACATGCTTTCCAAAACAGCATCAGATCCATCTCAGAAAGCTCTTATCTTTCCAGCATAAAGAATTGTGAAACAAAGCGAAGGGATTTTATGCGATGTATCACAAAGCAATCCGACAGAAAAAATGCAGAGCTTAGAACAACTGTCTGGATGCAACCAGACCAATAATTTTCCCCTGCTGCCAGGACACCCTGTTAGAATGTCTAATAGGAGAAGCTGTTCAGCTCTTACGTTACACAGGTGTAACTTCTCCCATTTCCTTTTCTGGCCGATTCTTGCAGCATGGATAAAAACGGGACGATGACAATTGATTGGAACGAATGGAGGGATTATCACCTCTTGCACCCAGTGGAGAATATTCCTGAGATTATCCTGTACTGGAAACATTCAACGGTAAGACAGGACCCCTGGTGCCTGTGAAGTCTTCTCGTGTGATCCAGAACCTCTCTGGACAGGTTCTGCTTGCCATGTTCTGCTTTAGCTCCTCAAATCTTTCTGCCCCAGGCAGGAGAGGATATTCTCAGGGTGGGGGGGAGCAGATCAAACACTTTGCCATAAATCAGTGTACAGGAGGGACCAGCTCTTGTGGGTTTGTAGCCTGTCGAGGCCAGCAACTCCTCTTTTGTCCAGCTGGCGGGTTGGGCTGCGTAGCGAAGTCAGGCTGTTCACCGTTTCTTCTTGGCTCCTGAAGAACCGTGGAAGATAGCAGGGCTGGCCAAGGGCCAGCTCTCTCAATTGGAAACCGATGCTGCACAGTGCATCTTTGGACGCCCTCTGGCAAATGTGATTAGCCAAGATTACAGACTGATATAGTTGTACACGCAACAATGAGCTTTTCAGGCAGGAGACCGGTGCTCGTCTCCCGACTAAAAGGATGGCCATGCTGCGCAGGACCTCTTTAGCCTCTTAAGAATCCCTTGTCCTGATGGTGTTGGAGAAATGGGTCTTGCTGGGTTGCCTTTCAGATTTTCGATGTGGGGGAGAATCTCACCGTCCCAGATGAATTCACGGTGGAAGAGAGGCAGACGGGGATGTGGTGGCGGCACCTGGTGGCAGGTGGAGGTGCAGGCGCTGTGTCAAGGACTTGCACTGCTCCTCTGGACCGGCTGAAAGTGCTCATGCAGGTAGGGAGGAACACCAGGGAGGTTTCTGTCTACTTTTTCACACTGCCCTAGTTCTTCCTCTTTAGTGTAGGGATGAGAAACCTGAGGTCCCAAAGCCACCCTGGGGTAAATTGCCAAAAATTAGCAACCACCACAGACTTCGGAAGTATGGGAAATGAACATGGAAGTTCATACTTCTGACACCCAGCAGGGAAATGCTGGGTGTCAGAAGTACACCCAGGGACATCTCCTTCTGCAGAAGACTTGCCCTTACATCATTCTTGTCATGCTTTTCCTTCCAAAGAACTATGTGTCCCTGGAGAGTTGGCAAGCTAGATCCATGCCACAGTGTTGATGACACCTCGGCCTTTATGGGCATGGCTCTTGGTGGGACACGAGATGACTCGTGACTTGGTGGCGCTTATTTTTCCTGTTGGCGATCAAAGGACAGCAGAGTTCTTGCTGTGTGTCAACTGAGGAATTTGGACTTTGCACAGACGTGGTCAGAGCTGTCCATCCACACCTTTCATCATTTGGGCTGTGGGTGTAGCTGGCATGTGCCGAAGTCCATGTTATCTTTTCTTTGGGCTTCTTGCTTTCCCCAAAGCTCCTACCTTTGTACAGGCTGAACTGAGTGGACATTAAAAACAAAGCTTCTTAGGCCTGTTGAACTGTTAAGACAAACCTAACTGCTAGTCTTGCATGTCAGTGAGAAAGGGAGGAGAGCTCATTAGTGGGCCTCCATCTAACCTAAAAGTCTCCCTTTTCCAGGTCCATGCTTCTCGCAGTAACAACATGTGCATCATTGGAGGGTTTTCCCAGATGATCCGAGAGGGTGGCCCAAGGTCCCTTTGGCGTGGCAACGGCATCAACGTCTTGAAGATCGCTCCGGAATCAGCTATCAAATTCATGGCTTATGAACAGGTAAAGCATCAGGGGCCCCAAGCGTGAGTGTCAATTTGTGTGCCCCCACTGCCGAGGCCATCGAGGGAGGGAGAAGGAGGTGACTGATGCAGATTTCTCCGGTCTAAGTACGGGACACCTTCTTTGGCAGATCAAGCGCTTTATTGGCACGGACCAAGAGGTGTTGAGGATTCATGAGAGGCTGGTGGCAGGCTCGTTGGCTGGAGCCATTGCACAGAGCAGCATCTACCCCATGGAGGTGAGTTTGTGAACGGAGCCCTTCTCTTCCTTGGTCTTCTGGTTACAGTTTCAGACTTGGCCGCACAAGCTTGAGGTTGAAGACCTCAGGAAGCTGACCCCAGCCCCAACTTGCTGCCATCTAGATGGACTGACCTTCAAGAACATTACTGACCACGTTGTAAAGAATAATGGGAATTGGAAATCTGAAAGGGGCCAGAGTGGGGAAGGTGGTTTGAGGGCCTTCCCCATTGACTTCTCAAAGGTTGTGTTCGCTGGAGACATCGGTGCATCTCTACCTCTGTGCTTCATTGCTTTTCCTTGATGGTTAGCCTTCTGTGCGTCAGGCCCGGAAGTGCTATTCCTTGCCTGCCTCCTGCCTGAATTGCTGACACTCTTCTTTCTCCTCTTGTTGGCTTAGGTTCTGAAAACCCGGATGGCCCTGCGTAAAACAGGGCAGTACTCAGGGATGCTGGACTGTGCTAAGAACATCCTTGCCAAAGAAGGACTGGCTGCTTTCTACAAGGGCTACATTCCCAACATGCTGGGGATCATCCCATATGCTGGAATTGACCTGGCTGTTTATGAGGTAAGAGATTTGGCAGGTCCCTCTTGCAAGAAAAGGAGGCTGTTAAGATCCTAGCTGGTGGCCCTCAAAACGCCAGTGTTATCCAGAAGCCCCAGCAGCGTTTGGCTCCAGCTTCTCTGAAGCCTAGCAGGCCCGTACCAGATGGATTTGTTCAAGGTTTTTTTTTTAAACGAGTCGGCTTTCTGATGACACTTGATTGATTGGTGGTTTCCTTCCAGACGCTAAAAAACAGCTGGTTGCAGCATTACGCAGTGAACAGTGCAGACCCTGGTGTCTTTGTCTTGTTGGCCTGTGGTACCATCTCGAGCACTTGCGGGCAGTTGGCCAGTTACCCCCTTGCTTTGGTACGGACACGAATGCAGGCTCAAGGTAATTGGACACCCCGGGATCTTTGGAGGAAGCTACAGTGAAGGAGGGCTTCCTTCTGGGACCCTTTGGCTCTTAGCCAGCCCTTCAATGCCTGTCCAATGTCTTCCCTTGCAGCTTCAATTGAAGGAGCTCCGGAGGTGACCATGAGGGGCCTCTTCAAACACATCCTGAAGACAGAAGGAGCGTTTGGGCTCTACAGGGGCTTGGCCCCCAATTTCATGAAGGTGATCCCCGCCGTGAGCATCAGCTACGTGGTCTACGAGAACTTGAAGATGACTCTGGGGGTGCAGTCTCGGTGACCACCATGTGGCCTCTGGACTCTTGAATCCTTAACCAAGCCTTGGGGCTGCGGCTCCAGGGCGAGTGGCCATTTCATTCTGTGAATGGGTTGAAGACACTAAGTTGCGTGAGCCAAGCTGTGAAACTCCCAGGCCGAGAGGGGCTGGGAGGACAAGGGGTGGGGGCTTTTATCTTTGTGTTGCTGACAGAAGCACTAGGGGCATCCTCCCCAGCGGGGAAGGACCAAACCAAGACACCCCCCCCGCCCCCCAGGCCGGGAGACTGTCACAAGCCGCTTGGTGGAAGCTTGGCTTCTAAGGTAGCAGAAGAAGTGGGACAACCGCGACCCACTCCTTCAAAGCCTCTTATGCCATTTCAGAGCAGGAGAATAGATCACCTTCCATCTTGGCTTCTTCCGTTGGGCTGTTAACGTTTAAATCCCCAAAAAGACCTGCCTTAGTTAGAAATGGCTACTGAGCCGGAAAAAAGAAAAAGAAAAGAAAAAGTTAAAAAAAAAAGTTGCTGTTTACATAACATTCTGCTGGGTGAGAGTGATTTGCATTCTACTTTGCAATCCTGACAATGTAATTTTTATTTAAAACAAAACAAAACCCAGGCCTGAGGGCAAGGAATGTTACTTTTTTTTTTTTTCCTGCCCCCCCCAAAGCTAGTCAGGCAGAGCCGAAATGTTTTCACGGGCTCTGCTGCTGCTGAACGAGATGCACTTATTACGACGTCTGAACATTTGAGTGCCCCAAAGGCGTGTCTCTTCGCTGCTGATTGGGGGGGAGAAAGAAAGAAAGAAAGAAAGAAATTTCTACTTCCTATTGTAACATTTTTGCTTTGGCTGTTCAGGGCCGCCAGTTCCTCTCTTTGGAAACTCTGACCACGTGGCCGCCCCGTCTTTCTTTAGGCCCTCTAGATCTTGATAGACGGACGCCAACGCGTGCGTTCAGGGTGGGCGAGTGGGGTTACAGGCTTTGGGTAACAAGTAGCGTTTGCTACAGGGAGCAAAAGGGGTTAACTGACAATGGAAAAAACGTCGTCTTTGTGGGGGAATGGAAAGGGTGAACTGCCTAGGGTTTTTTCCCTCCTCCGGCGAGGCGCTTGTCCCAGGAGAAGGGAAACGCGTAGCAGCCGTATTTATGACTCTCCCAAGGGCTGGTCAGTCCTCTTGGGGGGCCAGGGAAATGTTTCTCTGACTTTTTGGAGGCCAGCTTCTCATTCCACTCTTGTTTTTACTGCTTCAAAGCATATTTATTTTGTATTTATTTGGAAGGCGAGGCCTGCTCGCCGATCTATTTTTATAGACTTGTAGAGTTATTTGTGTCTTTCGTCTTCTGTATTTTTGTAGAGGTTCTCTGTATTTATGTTCTTAAAAACCATTTTGCACGTTGTAACTTAACTTGGAATCCCCGGCGGAAGAGGAGGGAGCCCCGCTGTCCTCCTCCGACGGCTCGGTTTTCCCTTCCATGAGCAGCGCTGCCTGTTTTGCATTTGAGGTCGACTGAACCACTGAGTCAGGAGGGAAGAATTTGGGAAAAGGAGGAGGGGGGCTGGTGACGGTGAGGGGAACCTTGTTTTCACTTGAACCAGGGTCGGAATGACCTCCTTTTTAGCTTCCTTGGGGATTGGGGCTGGTTGATGCCCCAACCACGTGTGGGGTTTTATTGATGTTTTCTTCTTTGATAATGAAAAGGGCTGATTGGACTCTAGAGGAAAATCTCAGGGAGACAAAATAACAAAAAACCACGAGGTGCCAGTTTTGTTAATGCACGGAAGGCCATTTGCACTCGGAGGGAAGCTGTTGCTGATTGCCAGGCAGCTGGGTGCCCTGCCACAGGGGCTGTTCCAAACGCACAAAGCCGTTTTCAAGGAGAAGCGACGATCTCCGAAAGCAGCAGTGACCCAGATGCCCCCCCCACCCCCAGATGCTCCATGTCCTGAAAGTCTGGTCCAATGGGGGGTGGTGGAAGTTTTGAGCGTTGCCTTCTGTGCTAGAATGATCTGCTTGTTGGGACCATCTGCATGCTTGTCTCGAGTTTCTGTCTGGATCAGTGATACGACTGTGTCCCCCACTTGCTCTTTTTATGAGTTGCTGTGTTGTCTAGGCAGCCCTTCCTTCCTTACCATTGGTGGCCTGGAGAGAGTATTCGGAGCATGCAAATCAATGCAAAATCGACTGTCTTTGTAGCTGTAACCCGGGTTTATGAAGAGCAAATGTAAGAAAAATCCAGAAGTCTTTGATGGTAGGGAACAGTTTGCTAATAAAGGTTTATCATGCTAATATTTCCCTGGCTTCTGTTTGTTTGTACTGGTTGTCGAGTCAAACAGCCATGCTGCTTATCCAAGTATGCGAGCGGCAAATTTAATTTTAAGCCTTTTTGGTGATACCCTCGAAATTCAGGCATGATCTTGTTCCTATTTTCATACGATGCGTTCCTCCATCCCGTGGAGCTGCTTAGATGTGGATTTCTGGTACAGGTGTTAATTGGCCGACACTCTCCCCCAGGGGTTCCCGTGCTGCACTTTCTCTGGTTTTCTTAAAGCCACCCAAGAGGGTTCCAGCAATGTGATCCAAGACACACGTTCTCCCCAAAGACCCCATGCCTTGGACGGTGGGGTCCCAGAGGCCCTAAAATGTGAGGCCAGCAGTTTTAAGCCCAACTCAAGGCAGAGATTACACTTGGGCCCAATTTTACGCACGGCATTGACTTATATAAATTGGGATGAAAGTGGGGAGTTCCATCCTTTGATGTTCTGTTCCTGTGGGGTTTTCTCATTTATGGGGGAGCATTTGAAAATAGCAGTAGTGCATCTCATCCTACTATTTCATTCTCCTGCTTAACTTAGAACAGCTCTGTTTTGCTCCACCGCCATCCTGTTTCCTGTCTAGCCATGACAGAAATGATTTAGGCCAGCAATCAAGCTAAAAACATTGAGGCTGTTCAGGCCACCGCTCTTCTTAACGTAGGGTTGGAGCACCCTCTGCTGCTGGATTCAGGTTTCTATTTCTGAATGAACATGGAATTAACATGGAATGTCTGAACAAGAAGCTTTTGTTTGGAAAATGGAGATTGCCCACTTCTGCCTCCTCAGGTGATAGCATCTAGCCATCCTTGACTGATCCTGGAAACTAAGCAGGGCCAACCTTGGTTAGGACTTGGATGGGAGACATCAGGAATTCCAAGGTCTGTAGGCTAGACTAGGAAATCAAAAAACAGCCCCAAAGAAAGCAAGGGCAAATCATTTCTAGGAAACCAGAATATGTTTTGGCTGATACACGGTCTCCAAAAGTTGAGCTCTGCTCAAGAGACCTTTACTACTTTTTAAAAGAAACTACCATTTTATGAATCCCCAGATTTGCAATGCTGGTTCCCCACAATTGGTGACAGTTCTGATCTGCTTCTTTCCACATACAATCTTCTGAAAGCAGGAAGGACCCCAAAAGAGAAGTCCTTCCTGATGCTTCTGGAGCAGCTGTTTGTACCAAATGCTGGGAATAAAAGTAATGTAATCGCTGTGGTCCCAGGAATGATACATGATGGAACAAGCCTGCTCAAAAGGCGTGTGCACAGGCTGTCCAGGAGGGGGAGACTTTTGCAAAAGGTTTGGCCTGCGGCGTGCTGATCCCTCCAGGGTTGGTGTGGACGTGAAGTCCCTTTTTGACTCAAAACACCAGTGGGAGAGTTTGCATGATGAGTTTAGAAATTCAGAGCAAAGGCGACTGAACCAAGGTAACTGAAAAGTTGTAGACTGAAATCTTACAAGTGTCTTTTCAAGCTCACAGATGATTCAGCTTGCCAATTGTCTTGGGACGACTTGAACATGAGAGAGCCAACTGCATCCCCGGTCCCCCATTTTGCTACTTGGAGAGTTCCTGAAAAAAATGAAAAGCAGTGTACAATAATCTATAAAACAACCTCTTATCAGAAAAGAAGACAAGACCTAAATCCTGGGAAAATCACAAATCCCAGTTACGTGAATGAACCCTCCTTGTCTGGCGTTATTGCGGTTCTTCTCGTACTTCCACAAAGAGTAGTCCATGGTCACAAAAATACTGCCAGCCATGTTTTGAAGAGTAATGCATAGTTTTTGTTAGCTTCAAAATATAGTAAACAGGACTTCCCCAACCTGGGTGCTCTGTTTAGTGGAGTCTTCAGGGTTTTGCCCCAAGTTCTTGCCAGATGAACTCCACTCTATAATGTGTGCTGATAATTCAGGAGAACCACCACCTTTCTTCTCCATGGTTCCATGCCTTTAGGATTACTAATGGAATTACTCCACTTCAGGTCACCTCTGGCAGCAAGTTGGGGGTGTCAAATGCAACCCCATAATCACGAGGACAAGGACCTTCCTTCTTTGAGGACAAATTCACTTGAAATCCACCTTTGAGTCCGATGCTAAACATGGTGCAATTCGGTGTGGACTGAAATGACAGAAGCTGATCTTTTCATTGGTGGTTTCTAGTCTGCTGAGCGTGGGGAGGGAGGAGTTGGTGTGCAAACATTTGGCTCTGAAATGTGCAGATTTCCCTTAGGTGAACTTCTTATGAAAGAGGTCCAGTGTGTTTAAAAATGGGCAACTTTGGCTGAAGCATGAAGATTTCCACCTAAAGCGTTTTAGGAGGGTGACTGTAAAAAGATGTAAAACCAAGGGTTGTGTCTCTGAAGGGCAGGTTGTAGTAAGAGGTTGGCCGGTCCCTCAAGAGAACATTTTACAGAATGCTCCACTTGAAGATGGTGCCTTGCTGTAGAGACTGCTGTGGTGGCAATCAGATGCAAACCTTTGGGTTGTATCTTCTACAAAAAAGGAGGTATAGGGACTTCTTGCAATGAATGAGTACTATATTGGGGGCTGCTTTATTTTCCTCTCCCCCAACAATTGCTTCTGGCAAAATGAATTGGTTGAAGTTTCTTGGAGGCGCCTACAGTGACTCACACAGCACTGCAGATGAAATCCACCATGGAGTTCAGCTGGAGTGGAATGGTGAGATTCACCCAAAGCTTCATCCATGAAGGTTGAGCAGCAAGAAATGCTCAACATCTCCCTTGATTGATTGGAAAAAAGCTAAGCGGTCAGTACTTAGGGGCTGACTACCAAGAAATCTTAAGTCTGTGGGCTAGATTGGGTCAAAACACAAAAGCAAGGGGTTGGTTGCTAAGAAAACTGCATAAACGTATCTGTGTAGTCACCAGAATTCATTTCAAGGAAAGCTTTTATTGTCCATTGCCCTCCACTTAAAAACTGGCATGCACACACCCCAAAAATGCACATACTGTACTGTGTTTTGAGAAAAATGCTTTCCCCAAAGGGCATATATTTCGGGAAAATTGAGGACAACTTGCACGTAATATGGTTTTTCAAAAGAGCATCAGCAATCTTCATCTTCTGGCATGCAAAACATGGTATGCTAGGTAACTTGAGCAAGGTCTACCAATGAGGATTTTTCATTTCTCTCCCAATCTCAGTAGCCTCCTCCCAAATAGGATCAACCCCTCTGGGAGAAAGTTTCCATCTGCATATAAAATAATCTAGTGATCTCATTTCCTCTGTCTCCTTTTTTCCTTGCAAATTTCACTCTTTCTAAGGATTGTGTTATATTTGTTAGTCATGAGGTCAGTCCCACCTGTGCTACCAAGAAGCTATCTTGGGTCTTTGGAATGGCTCCAGTTTCTGAAAGAATCTCTGGTGTGATTAATCGTCTTGGAGATGGGTTTTAAAACCACCAGGGTCTTTTCAAATAAACAGAAAATTGCATGGACAAATTATGAAGGCCTGCAGAGTGTCAACAGAAGGGTAATCCGTCAATCTTGCAGTTTGGACAAAACATTTCAAATTCCATGGAAAGCAGTGCCTTTTGTCACACTCCATCTGTTTGCCAGCAGCACCCACAGGTACCACAATGAACATGAATGCTCTTCAAACATTATTATTATTGTTTCTTTTGGAAATCTGCCCCCCTCCGCCAATGATATAAGAAGTTTTGCTTTGTTGTTAGGACCAAAGAGGCAATAATTTTGAAGAGATAGAGCCAACAGATAGAATTGATCCAATGTGGGACTGTTCTCTGAAGATTTTAAAATATGTAAGATTGGTTTCTGTACTGGATCGACACCAAAATTATTGATTTTCAGCAGCATGGCAGTCTTCACTCCTACTCTTTCTGGTTCTTTTTCAGTAAAGCATCCTGCATTTGACAGTGTTACATGCAGAAAACACATGAGATCCAAGGAAAAGAAATGTGGGAATTGTGTGGCTTTTAAAAAATTCATTGGCAGTTCTCTATCTTGGATCTCCTTGTTGAGGAACACTCTTTAGAGCTGCATAAAAGTATTTCTTCGCCACAACCGCTTCTAGCTGCATCAAATTGCTCCAGAAAGGTTGCTGCACTGCAATTGGCCCTTGCAGAAGGCTATAATGAGCTGCAGGTCCCGTTGCCCTATCAGCCAGTGTAAGAAAGAAGCATCAAGGGATCTGGACAGGAAAGATATGTTTTCTGGGAGCTGAACGTTTTCTTGATGATGTTGTCATGAACCATATGTCCTCCTGTGTATATCTATATCCTTGTGATGTTAGCAAAACTTCTAGGTGGCCTCCATTCTTGACTGTTCTAATCTAGATGAATGAAGTCATTTTCACAGAAGGAGACTACATGTCCTATGCTTGCATTCCGGATATTGACTTGAACTTTTGAGGAAAATGAGCTGTAGAGATGTGGTTTTGTAATCTAATGAAATGGGACTTGCTTACTTTCCCATTGCCTGATCTATATGTGGGCCCTGATATTCTCCATCCAACTCACATATGGTCCTTGGCACTTCCCCAAACATTGTGTACTCCTGCTCTAACAGCTATTCAAACAATAAGACCCATGGCCATGTTCTTTCCTTAGGAAAGTGAGATCCGTGAGGGTGCATGTTTTCTAAGAGAAGGTCTAGCTTGGACCAGATTCCTGGGTTAAGTGAGTCCTTGATCTGATTGAGCAGTCTCATTTTAGACCTCAAGGACTGTGTGGCCTCTCAGCCTTCTCCTGCAAGATCACACGGCTTGTGACTGGCATTGGCAAGACCAGATCATTCATCCACATGTGCTAAGACATATTTTTGGGGGCCACATGAATTGGAACAAAAGGGAGGTCAGGGTTTTGCTGTCACCCTTTCAACAATGTTTTCCCCTTTTTATATGAAGTTTTCCCACCTTTGTTCCAAAAGAATTGCCTTTGTTGTACGGCCCTGGCGTTGGAGTCAGATCTTGTAATAGGGTAGCCCTCCATTTCTAACAAATGC